TGTGAAAGGAACTTGCAGAAATAGTGTTTCTCAACAGGATGCGAGACATAGAACACCAAGTAGAACTCAATAGCTTCTTTTAAACATTCAACATGAGCCTAACAACACAAAAGGAGGGAGGGTGGAGTTACTGACCAGCAAACATTGATGGTGTGGGCGATAACTTCAAACCACCCATGTTTGTGGGGCAGAACATTTTGTTTGCTTTCGGCTCTTTAGATTGATGAGACGACTAATCAGTAACACTGAGGTTGCTCTTATACGCTTGCTACTTCTGTGGTTCATGTTTCCAAAACTATGCTGAGGTCGCTATTCTGTCGAGACACCTGCAAAATTCTTACTCAGGCGCTTACAGTATGACTTAGAGGTTGGCATTCAATAATAAAGAAAAAAAACAGTTAGACAGTGCGAGATTTTATTCGTCAAATATTTATTTTTACAAACTCTACTCTTTTAACTAGAATTTCGATTTCAACGTACATAAATCCAGCTTCTTACTTCGACTTCTCTTCTATCCACCTGACACTGCACAACTCTTCCTTCTTTTTACTGTACTCCTTTATCTGTGCGTTATATTCTTATATTTCCATAATTTACTTTAATTTAAGTGGTCATTATGAATGTTATCTTGACTTACTACTGTATTGACTAATTTAACATGACAGGTTAAGTAGTGCTTTGGTTATATATATACACTTGCCACACTGCTGCCTTTTTCTCTCTCTCTTCTCCTTTTCAGAACCCCATTCACGGTGGGAAATCCTTGGCTACTCTGGGGAACATGCACCCTAGGTACATGACTGTCTGGATCACAGCTCGTATCAAGCGCGTTCCATATGACCTTTCCCAACAAATTCACTATTGATCTCGGCCAATCGCCAATAGAACCTATTGTGCACCTTCCTCATTTGTACTCTAATATTGAAAATGTGGCTGTATAATACTGTTTCTGTCAGTGATATGGTGTAAATATGCAATCAGAAACTGTCTCTTATACTTAATTTAACTGCTATAACTTTTACAGTAATTGTAAAAGCATTTGTGACAATTTGATCTAGCCTGTAAACTGGCGTGTCTCTTGTAACTTAGTTATTTGAGAATAAATTATTATTATTATTAATATTATTATTATTATTATTATTAAGATTAGTATCGCAATTCGAAACTGATATACTCACTTGTTGTTCTTCATGTTCTGTTTCAGAGACACGAGACATATGCTCATCAATAGCATCGTCATCACACAACACTGTAGACTGGCTTTTACCATCAAACACTTTCTTCTTATCATCACTCGACTGACAGTCAACCGGAATAGGAACAGTTACAGTTGCGCAACCTTGTGCATCTTCAATCAACTTAACCTTCGTGACGAGGTCCAATGACGTCGAAACACTAGGAGGCTCATTCGATGAAGTTGATAGACTAGTCACTATGAGTGGACTGCTGACACTTTCCGTCTCCTTATTATCGCTGCCACTACTAGGATTCTGATGGCTACTATTTCCATTGCTAGTCATAGCATCCGAAAGAGCATGAGGTTTAGGCTTCTTAATAATAGTAGCATCATGTTGTCTCCTAGGCTTCTTAGCCTTTACAGTACCACTATCACTTATCCTAGAATCTACTCTAGGTCCAGTTATATGATTTACCCTAAATGAAGGGTTCCGAAAATAGGCTTTATTCCGTTCAGACAATCCTGCCTGGGCCTTCTTCATATTTACTGAACTCATCAACCTCTGTTTACTCGAATCCAAATAACCGTTCCAGGCTTTTCGAGCAGTTGAGAGGCTTTCATCATCACACACCTCAGATCCATCTTGATGCCTACACTTTTCGCCTATTTCTTTCTTTTCCATACTTATAAAAGCCATCTTATCTGTTACACCAACCGGCTTCTTACTAGGATACACATCACGAGGTTTTACATCGTTACGGTCACATACTCGTCCTTCATCAGCGTATGCTTTCGTGATATAATTGACAACTCTCTTATCTTCCGGGCGTGCGTTAGATAGAAACGAAGAATCCTCAAGTCTCGCACGCAGAACACTAGTAGCTTCCGTATTATGTTCTGTTTTAGCCCGATAAGCTAATCTTCCGAACCTACTACTAGCTATCTTAGCACGAGACATAATAAATTCCGTCAATTCATTGAAATTAAGCTCTCTCTCCTCTTCGTCCCACTTGATTCCTAGCTCTGCCCACTGGGCTTGCATTCGACGAGGTAAGAGCCTGACTATTCGTTCTAAAGTAACCAGGGAATGAAGTTCCGTTGTGCAATTTAGCTGTTCTAAGGTTAAAGCAGCATTCTGCATTTTAATAGCCAAATTCGTCAATAATTCAGGATCATTAAAATCTGCGTTCCCAGTTCTAAACAAGTCCTTTAAAGTTTCTCGGGCTATTACATGCGACTGTCCAAAGAGCTGTTTTAGGATGGCCTTAGCTCTTTTATATCCTGCTTGTGGATCCATTATAATACAACCTTCAATCGCATTTTTTGCCCTTCCTTAGGTAGTTCTAAACCTACTATCGGTGTCCTAAGCATCTGATCGGTCTCTGGTACCTTAGAACTCTCACTTAATCCTGGTTCCTTAATGCCTGCCAAAGGTGACTTACAATAATAAGTATCAGACATAACATCAGTGTTAACATATGGGTTACCCATAAAAAATTCATCATTAACGACTTGCTTAGCGTTCCGGGATCCGTCGAGCTCTTCCACCCTCCTCGTGTTTGATTTCTTGCGACTTGACATTATAAGTGAAGTTCAACGGAAGATAAATAACAAATACAAAATATAGGAATTCCACAGATAAGTTCAATAAGAGATGTCCAAAATCAAAAATTCGTCATCCAAGATACAATTCGAATACGAAAATATGATAAATAATCCAAAATTCTTCTTCGAAGATAGTTTGGTGTGATAAACGATTACATTTCCAAATGTTTCTTTATAATTCTTAATAATCCAACTGTAATTGGTCTTCTAATCAAAGGGTAATAGATAATTCCAGAATATAAACGTTCATAGGAATAAATCCAGACTGTAAATGAATTTCTACAGTGGCCGTTCAAATGGGTTCCAATAGGTGCACTCCTGTACGATTCTCCCAGTCCCAGGTCCACACAAATCAAAAAGGACAAAAATTCTAGGAGAAAGCGTCTTATTTAAATAAAAACATGGAAATACAAAGCATTACCTGGATTTAATGCCTCTTCCAGGATACAATTACTCCGAAGAGTATCAGAAACAGTGATAGATAAGTGATGCTAAGTCCAGCAGCCACTGCATCAATCCAAATATGGCTGTAGCCATATTAAAGATCAAATTTAAACAACATATATACAGTTCAGAAGCAAACACAAAAACTTCAATATAAGTACAAAATATAGAAATAATAACAATATACAATGATAAAATCTCAAATTGGAATCAAATAAAATACCAAAAATGTCAACAGAATAAGTTCGTCATGTCATAACAAAAATATGTAATCATGGAGGGATTTTCCAAAAACAAAACATTCAAAAAGGATTCTACACAAACATCGTGGGACAACCGAGTGAGCAACGCTGTTATTAGGAAACGGGTACTAGGTAAGAATGGCAGATCAATCGATGAAGTGGCGAAACTTCATCAGTTGAGGTGGTTGGGACACGTGTTGCGTATGCCTAACCAGCGACTGCCTCGACGAACTTTGTGTTGTGGTGTAGGAATAGGTTGGAAGAAAGCTAGGGGCGGCCAAACCAAAACATGGCAGAAATCCATGAAGTCATTGACGAGTGGACTTAGCTATGTTGGTAATTGTCGACTACCTGGTTGGGGTCCGCGAGATGATAATAATCGATGGTTAGAGACCTTGAATGACATGGCTCAAAATCGTTCGCAACGGCGCCAGTGCATTTATTCTTTGTGTTCTCTCAAATCCTAATCTTCTGGGTTCTTCAACACCTCTAGCTTTTACTTTCTAAACTTATCTCATTGAATCATACTTCGTGAATAATATCTTCTAATTCTAACGTCTACGATTACTTCTAATACCTTTACTACCTCTTCTACTATTGGATTTGAATTGACAATTATATCTCTGTGCTGATGTGGTATGGCGACATGAACTGATGTACTTACGTACGAAGTTCTACGCTGCAACTGACTGACTGACAATATATAGTCCTCAATGATTCTTGGAGTACAAACAATATTAGCTCATGCCAGCTGACTCATTTGTTAGAAATAACCAAAGGTTATAAAGAAAACAAAGTGAGAGGAATGAGTTCAAAATAATTATTAGATATAAGCAACATCAAGACTGCATTACTCATCAAATGTAAACCTACAAACAACCGAAAGCAGTACAGGACATATACTGTAAGTGAGAAATACTACAAAATAAAACGGAAAAGTTAACATTATCAAAATGAACTGAAATATGGTGGCTGAATTTCTATAAACTAGTGAGTTACGAATGATCGATATTATATATTTGCTTGGTGTAGTTATAAAAAACATCCACATGATTAATGTAGGATATTTTAATATGCGTTTATTTATGGTTTCCATTTGAAGTTTGTGAAAGAGATGGTGATACTACATGACTGCTTAAACAGAAGATGAAATGGAGTTTTAAGCTATAACTGAGTGATTGAGAGAGAAAAAACTTAAGCACTGAGCCATCACCTGAGTGGAGGTAAAACTTTGATCAGTATTTGCACAGTAGGAAATATTATGGTTAGCTTGACGTGTTGCTGTTTCATCACAACACATATCCCACTTAACCAATGAATACAACACTAAGGACAATGCCTCTATAACAGTAACTATATGGCCAGTTGATAAAAAATAAGTTCTTAGAGCATATTTAAATGAACTTTACCTCTTACTTCAGTCAACTACATACAACCACCTAACATTATAGAGATTTTAGGTTTTAACATGGTCAAATTATAGCACTACACCACTAAAAGACTCGTTCAACCGAAATAACGGATACACAAACTCACACGAAATGGACGTTATCCCAATTCGAGGTAACAAGTTTACTGCAACCATGAATATGAACGAAATCATATTTCAAAATAGCTTCTTTTCGAATAAAAACTGTGCGCAACTGCCGTGTTACAGCTTCATTTGCAATGTTAAGCAAGATTGTCGTGGTGAGCGATGATACACTGAAACAAATAACCAAACTTAATAGTAAACCAAAAACCTAAATTACTATTAAACAGATATTAAGATCAATTAAAGTGTAAATTTCTAGCGCCAAAAATAGTTCTTACCCAACTTAGACAAGCGAAAAAGGTGAGTAGTGCACTTTAATCCACTTGTAGTATGGAAACACTGCGGAGGCTTATGTCTATTCTGCACCAAACTGGCTACAGTGTTAATTACCTGCTACCGATATTCTGAAGCAATAGATACACATTAAATCTGGCAACATGGATCAAAACCCATTATAGTAATAGGAAGGCTTTAATGGTCAAAAGTCGAGACTCAGTATATTCACCCAAACAGTAAGTAATAGATCCTGAATATTAGATGTAGGCTATAATCAAAAAGATAGGCCAATGTCAACAGCGACTAAATGATGGATAGTCAAAGTAAAAAGTACATTTAAGGTTAATAAGTTTATTTTATAAGACATTATCCCAAATGATAAAGAATAACATGAGCTTAAAATAGGTCCAGTAAAACGAAGTATTTAGCTTTAGAAATCACGAACTACAGATAACTGCCATATATCATGTTTGCTTACGTCAAAAGAATAAAGAAACTCGTTGATTAGAACTCCAACATAACAAGTTCTGGCTAACAATATCACTCTACACTCCGTACACAATACAGGTGAACTGTAGGAGGCGTTTGCATAATGATAACACTCGGAGAGTAACATACATCAGGCATAATCGCCCACACTACACTTTATGGAAGGTAATTCTGAAAGTGGGGTCTACATTTTTTTCAGTTGTTTGCGGTATTATGAAAAATGTAACCTAAGAGGGACAAAAGCTGATTATAGTGCCGTAAATGCTTAAATGTGTTACATCATACTCGTTGTTAACACCGAGACAAACGCTTATCACAAATTCTAAATAGCTACAGTTGAGCAGTAATATCTATAAAGTTTCACTGTATTGGTGATGAGTAGTGTTGTTTAAATTAAACCCACAATCAATTTTTTGTAGAAAATAACCTGTTAAATGGGAATGGCATGTATGGGCAGCATTCAGCAGAAACTAGTGTGGCTGGGAATAAAACGTAGTAAGCGTTTGTATAAAACCTATGGTGTAAATGAATCGTAAAACCTAATGAGCGCACAATTGACTGTTCGCTCTGACAATATTCGCGATCCAATTACATAGTGAAAAAATAAAAAAACACAAACTGGTAAGACTGACAAGTAACCCGTTCTTGAAGAAGAAAAAATATTTCGCATGAACACGAAGTCTCTAAAACAAATTACCTTTCAGAATGCGTTCGGTTCTCATGAAAAATCATGGAGCTAGGTACGTCAGGATATGGACAGTTTATCGGAACAGGGAATAAATACTCCATCTCACTTGGTATTTTCAATTATTTTTACTGAGATGCATTCCGCCGAATATGTTTATCTAGGTTGAAAGCAGACGTTTACCGTGGCAAAAATTACACTGGCAAAGTGAAAAGTTTAGAGCATTCAGATACAATAAGGTAAATTCTAAATAAAACTACGCAGAAACTAGTTTATTAACGAGACAATGAAATTAAAATTAACCGTATCATTTTGACTTTGACAAGAAGGTACTCTCTGCACTAGCGCAGGCTGAAGAGTAGTGTCCGTAGGAGTTGGAAAAGAAAATAAACGGTGAGCCAACAACCTAGGATATGCATAGATTATACTTACAACTAATAATAGACAATAACCAGTAGTAGCACAAGCCTCCGATAACAACAGGTAGATAGTTCATGTTTCCAAGTAGCTGTAAAATTAGGCGTTTAGTAAGTTTTATTCCAGCAAGACGGTGTACGGATTAGGTATCCCGAAATAATACAACCGAGAGACTGATAATCTAACAGTCCTTAGCGCAATGTTTGGAATGCGTTACATGGCAAGTCTTGAAGTTCGGTGAGAATAGCATTTCAGCACTACAGGTTGTCAGTTCGTGATTAAAACTGTCTCGAAACACTAATACGCAGAATTTGTTCATTAAATAGAAGAGGACGATTAGCATGATGGATAGTGGTGAAGTTGAATGTAACTTCAGCCATAATAAGTTTGCATCTAGACTGGCAGTACAGTGCGTTGGGAGCGTGAGGAGCCATAAGTGAGCTTATCTGGAAGAGGAACTAACAAGAGTAAAATGAGCAGATGGATCAGTAAGCACATAACATGCACTTACTTTCAAGCTAGAAAGCAATCAACAACAGTCAGAAATAACACAAACAAATAAGAAAAACTATGAGTTGGTAGCGCACGGTTTGAATATGCTACAGATTGTAGTCAGATGTAACTCCGTTTCATCTCAACTATTTGAGCGGTCTAGTTCTCAGAGATGATTAATTGTGGAGGAGTGAAAATGATAAAACATATTAGTACACTAATCGTTATTCAAGAAACTGAGTGCGAACATAAGTTCACCCCGCGTACTGCGACAAGGCGAAAAGGTTTGAATGTTTTGGAGAAAATTTATAACTCAGGTGGATGATTGGGGTGGTTTTCCATTCTCTTAGTCGGGCGTTTAGGTTAGGGAGCTTCCATTGTTCTTCTGAACAACATAGTCAGTTAAGTTTTTCGATTGGGTTCTTGTTTCTTTCCCACTAACTACAGAACGTTTTCCCATGGCTGTCTCACTAATTCTGACTTTCGAGCAAATTCATTCGTTGTCTACTCTTTCTTGTGAGAGTTTCGCTCTCTCCACATCTTATGGTTGTGTTCGCCTTCTCAAAAATGCCGAGATTAGATGAGCTTTCGATGAGTGATAATTTCCTTGTCCTGAGAGCATGAGGTGGATGAGGACTACGTATTTTAGTATCTCATTCTCTTAGTTCAAAACAAGAGCTGAACAGCACTGGCGACTAAAACCGTTTCTTCAGCGTCATCTGACAAGTTGCAACAGACTTCAACTTAATCAAGAAACATGGAAGCACACCGGAACTTTGTTTCACAGTTTATCATGAGATTCAAATTTCGACACGGGTGATATGGACATTGTGATTTAAAATTTATACCTCACTTTGACGTAATACCTTGGTTGCACGGTACCGAATATTGACCACGTCATTCATTAAGTAGGGGTTGGTAAATACTTTTCGAGAAAGCTGGGAGAACCAAAGCACGTCTACTAGGAACGTCACATATTGTTTTCATTCCGAAACTTACTTCACTTGATTGACATTAATTAACAGGCACCTTTGTGCTTTAGCCAATAAGGCTTTAGGTTGCAAAACTGAAACTTAATTATACCTTGATTGTTTACCTCCTTAATGCAGCTAAATTCCCCATATTTAACTGCAGTTTGGTAAACAGCCCATTTGCGAACAATCAAACCATCAGTTGTTTAGTCGTCAGCATACAGAAACCGAAATACCTATCATGGCATTTACAGTATTGACATCTAATCAACATTCCGCAATAAGTTTCATATCCGTCAGCGTCAACTAGGGCTATAACTGAGCAGAAAAATTCTTATGACGGGGGAAAAGATGCTATTGCTGTTTGAACTAGTAGATTTTTATTTAGTTTTCTTGTATATGATTTCAAATATAATTTTCTATCTCCACCTGAGCAGACTTAGAATTATGGTTTTCCTTGAGATGTCAATAATCCATCTACTTTTTTTATTATCGTTAATTCAATGACGCATTGAAGGCTTCCTATTTTTCTTCGCCCTCTACATATATTTGTTATACAAACATTTTCTCCCACAAAAATTTCATTCATACACCGAAAAAGCAAAATCTCGTTTTATAATTTATAAAAATGTTTACTGATTAATTCTCGAATCTTAGTTGTCCTTATTTTTGTCCCTTTTCTCCATATGCCTCCAAGTCAACTGGATGTTTATACATACATTAGAGAACACGTGTGATCATTATGTCACATATTCTTGTATGTAACTGGATTCATGACGAAACATGAGATAGTTTCATTATGCTAATTATGTATTAACAAACTGTTTGTGAATAATAAATCAATGAGATATTTTCAGATCAAGCGAGCGGCCAAAATATAGGCAAACTCAAAATATTTCGATAGGTTAGTGTTTAAAGTGAACTTATGAACCAGGGTGTGCATGTCAATGACTGAAGTGAGGAAGACCTATCAAACTTAGGGATAAGATACGTAGTGCAAACTTTACCGATCAACTGAACCAGGTACTTACAACCGAGCAACACTTTTTATTTTCAATGCCAGGTGAAAATTCAGCCATCCCTTGTCAGTACTGTAGTGGTATACTTTTACGAAGATAACACAACTGCTGAAATATAAACATTTGTTATTGTACTTAATTCCGACAATACTCGTTTTACTGCACTCTTTCAGATTATCTGTACCAAAGACTATCTCTCGGGCGCCAAGTGTGTTGTTTCCACTCCGCTCCTCTTCTCGCCTGTTGTTAGCCGGTCCTGTCACCTAGTCTCGATATTATTTCGATATCACGGGGCTAGCGATAAAAATACTTCTTAGTCCAGAATAGTTTTTTCTTTGACCTCTGGAGTATCGGGATTTACATCAGTAATCCCGCGAAGAAATATACTTATTTTAACTGCCTATAGTACTATGAAGCCAAAATCTTCACGCTCATGAAGGTCAATTTGATTTGACATCTACCCGATTATTTCTTCAAATGAGACACAAATCTCTCAAACCAAGGACAGAAAAGCAGTAGGGTAGCTCATAGGGTACAAAAATAAATCATGAGAAGCCAGATCCTAACACTAGGGATGTTCTCACTGGTTTACGGGAGAATGCTAGGTACTATGACTGTGATAAACAACACATGCGGAACTCAAAGTCACATCAGTATCATCGTCCTTCCAATATGTCACCGCCATGACCATCAAGGTATCTGAAGAGGCTGCACATCAAAGAGCGAACCCAGGAGCCCCCACACATTTTATCATAAGGAGGTGTTTCTACTCAGAATGCTCTCTCACACGAAGTATCCAAGGCCATCTCAGTAGATAGCTTCAAGTGAAAACTTGATGAACACTCGGGAGTACATGAATTACCATCCACAGCTTGCACAAGCCTCCCATGTAGGACGTGGTAATCATTATCAATATTTCCTACTTATTCTACCTCACTTAATATCAGTTTAGTTTTCTACATCCTTAGACTTCGGGCCCCTCACATCATCTGTACTACCGACTAATTAATTTATGCTCTCCATTTAGTTTTGAAGCATCCAACTTCTCCTTAGCCATGGAACTTTTTATTTATTGCAACCAACTGATTTCCAGCCTGGTAATGTGATAGCTGATAGTTTCAGAAACTCCACTGACCTAGGAAAAAACACAGTCATTCGAATTACAAGACATACAAATTCAGGACAACTGTCAAAATGAGTTAGACAAGTGTAGTTGTATGGCTAGAATAAGGCCTATTAGACCTGGCCAGACAGCGTGCTTATACAGGCTGGCGACAAAGACATTTTATATTGGATAGTGACCTTGCGCGCAAATCGACAGTTGGTTTTCGTCTAATCAATATTTTTACTTGTCGATGCGAGTAAATATGAAATCGCTTTTTTAGGTCCATGATTAGTTATATTTTCTCTTATATGCACTTTGTTCACTTTTAAATGCATCACTTATGCCAGATGCTAACTAAATATTGTACAACGAAGTTGGTTTCTTAATTGAGTTTAAACAGAATGAAATAGATTAACAGTTATCCTTCTTGTTTCAGTTCGTTTGATGAAAACAAGTGTTTTGGACATGGTTTGCATTTGGTGCCTATTCGTTTCTTGGGTTTCGATCTTATTACAACCAAACTAAATGTCTAAATATGCCATTTGTAGTACATTTAAATAGTCTTTCTCTGTGTACACACGTTCAGCGGACTAATCGTTGGAGGATCAGTGTAGTGTTTATGCACATCGCTTGATCTAATTTGTCTATGTGATCATTTTCTCCGCTTTAGATGTTCACGTTCAAAACGTCCTTATGGACAACCACGTTTGACCGTCTTGATTCAGTTCAAGACCGATGTTGAAACATAACCGAACAAAATTTTCTTCTCCCTGTCACTTCGTCAATATAGCTTTGGAGTTCTGATTTTCAACCGCTTGGCGAAGTAGTTTTTAGTGAATTTTCTAAAGGCATTTTGACGCTAGTCTTTTTATAACCGCTAGCTAGCCAATGGTTTATCGAACGACGTACATTTAGTCAGATACAGTCAATTTGCAGCTTCAAATCAATCCCCTGGGCTAGTAATTTCAGGCGAATGTAAATATAGAGAGTTTAAATAGTGATCTGTTATTTAAAGTATGGTAGTGGATTAGGAAATATAATGTAAACCAGTTTAAGCTTACTTTGGATATCCGTGCACAACTAAAGTCATCAAAAGTAGATTTGTGTGATTTTACGATATTCGGTGATATCACAAGTGACGACGCAAACTTCATATCCTCAAGCATATCGTGAGTTTTATCGGTCGGCTTAGAAGTGTCACGTGAGAGACCTGTGGCAACAACATTCATAGATTATTTGTAAAACAAAAGCTGTTAGTACGAATAAATCTTGTAAGTGTGGAAATGGACAAGCACTTTTTCATGTATCGGGATGCGTTAAAGAAAAGTTTGCATTTTCCTAATCGGATTAATTATAAGCTTTTAAGTAATTTTGGACAGCAGAACGAAGATAATACATACTTCTGTTATATTTCCAGACTTTGAAATAACTAGAAAAAGGATCACTTTATGGAACTGTAGTTTTACTGATGTTCATTATCATCACTAAGAATGGGTGGACACGTTAGTCGTGGTCGAGATAACCAGTCGCTCATTGATGAACTTGTACAAAACGGTCTCACGTTAGCCCCGGAGATTGAGCGTGCTCTTCGTTTAGTCGACAGAGGGAGTTATTTCAATGAAAAAGGTCCGCGAGCGTACATGGATATGGCATGGAGGTCTGGTTCTCTGCATCTTTCAGCACCCAGCATCTACATTGTAGCTCTCAAAAACCTCGATATTCAACCGGGAAACTGCTTTTTAAATGTTGGAAGTGGGACAGGATACCTTAGTACGGTCATCGGATTGTTGCTAGGTAGGTTTTTAAAAATAAAAAATTGCCCTTTTTATAACCACTAAATGAGCTAACAGATTCTAGCCAATATAGCTATTTAGGCCGCCAAAAAAGTGCAAACGGCTTGCTACGTGTACGTGTCATCATTTATTTTACTGTAAGTAAAATGTAAACTTGAGATTTCACGTGTTTACAAATGTTTTTAGACTATTTATGTATGTATGTACTCATACATTATCCTTGTAGATCCCGAAGTTTGTGTACTCGATTATGTTATTCACCATGCTGATAGCAAAACAACAAAATTAGCTTTTCACAATCCTAATGGAGTGTGATTTGAAAAGGAGACTATACGTTTGGCTGTCTTAAGAACATGCCATATGTTGTTTCTAGTTAGTAAAAGGCTAACTTAATTTAACACAAAGCTACAGATTGCAAACTTATCTAAGTTTAATCTTTGGCTAAGTTATCAAATGACAAAGAAAATAACATAAAGACCACATCAAGAAGTCACACTAATTGGTGTGAACGTCGTTAACGTTACGATTAGCGAAGGTATAGAGTAAGGGAATTATCACGGATTTTCATCATCATGCGCCCCTAAAGGAGAAAGGATAGGGATTTTGTCTAGTTTATAACTTTTTTTGATAGAAATGTACCAGATGATTCCACTACACATACTAAATTTTTTTCTATGGTATGTAGACTGTTGGAATAGCGCAAGCTATTGAGGCCTGTGTTAGGTTTCTCCATGATTCTAGAATTGTAAAATCTACACGAATTCATATGAAACCACTTATAAATACGTTAAAGTGGTGCTGGTCATCACCCATAAAACAATTCTTCTCGAGCGTCATTTCAGTCATCAACCAAATACTATAGATTAATGTTCATGAAACTAACCTAGGCTATAAACATTTTAATAATTACTCACCATTTTTTTCTCAAAAATTGCACCCGATTTTTCATCCTTCAAGCGTATTTATTCATTCGTTTAGACATATGTCGATGTCTATCTAGGTTTAATTACTGGGGAGGTTTATGGCTTTCAGAATCGCCTTTCATACTTTCTAGGTGGTCATGTAAGTAGGTTAGATAGATGGTTCAACTCACTGACTTGAAACCTTTTCAGGCAAGGCTGAAACAAGGACCAATAGCAATCGTGCCGTAATTTTCCTCAAAATTCTTCATAAATTAATGACGGACTTCTTAGCTCGAATGTTTCTAAATCGTCTAATTTGTTTTGCATTTGAACTCTCTTTGTTGTTGTTAAATATTTCATTTGTTTATTCTCTTCTACTTGAATGTACTTCTTTTTCCCCACTGTTATCTATACTTTGTGTAGCACAATCTATTTTTTGGCACTTAGTTATATTAGATTATATATTTTTAAATAAATAGTCAAATTATTCTATAAAACCACAGCAACCTTGTTCAAAAATATTAAATTGTTGACACTGTTCATGTTATCAGTTCGTTAAAAACATAAAGATCCCTTCAAATTGCTGATCAGAAACTGACCTTTTCGATCATATCGCTTGTGATGGCAGAAAATCGTCGAAGAAGTCCAAACAACCCCATCTATATCTTTTCATTTAACCATCCTAGGTCAAATTAATGAACATGTTCGGGCAGTAAATTTCCAGTCGAAGATGTTTACGGAAGACCCAGTGCCTGTTTCCTGTGAACTACTAACTGATTCTCTTTCGCTTTACTCTCTTAGATGAACAAATCTCTATTATACCTTTTGACCTTTTATCTGTTCATTCAGTTTTAACCAACTTTCCCAACTCTTCATGTTAGTGGTTCAGATGTTTAACTTTCAAAATATGCACTACAGCCTTGAATCCTAAGTGCCTAACTACAGAGTTTTCGTAACTTTATTATTCTTCATATAATAGATATGATTTAGATAGAAGTGTATAGGCTTAGACTAGTTTATCTAAGAGGATTTCACTTCAGCTTCTAGATTCTATATTTTCCTCATGTTCCTATGAAAATATTGTTCCAGTCACCACAAATATTATTCTTCATTTTACTCATTTCCTCTTTTTGTGTCAGTAATGACTTGTAAAAATCAGAATGTTTACCTTACTTAACTGCGTATACGTGCAACATTTGTTGTATCCCAGTCAAAAGATGAGTTTCGATTTGATCATTTAAATTGATTCAAACGTTATTTATGGTCATTTTTATATTTAGTACGTCCTGACATTGTCTTGTGATTTTGTTTGATGTTCTCAAACTTGTGTTTTAAAAAAATCAGATTTTAAATATTTACACTTTTTTGTAGGATACAATGGCGTCAATCATGGTATTGAGGTGAATGATTTTAACGTTAATTTTTCCCGTGAACACTTGGTGTCATTTATGTCTGAATGTGATGCACCTTTTGAACGGTCGTTTTGTCCTCCAGTATTCCTACATGGGAATATTTTCGATTTAGTCGTTCCACCAGACCAGCAGTCTAGTACGGCTGAAGGACTCAATGTTTTCCCACAGTCTACTGAAACGGTTCAAAATAATCTAGACACTCAATCAAATAGCAGTATAATTAATTTTACAAGTATACGGACTTCAAATGAGTATCAAGTTTATTCATCGGACACTTTAATGGAAGCGGAAGAAAATGATCATGCCGTGGTCGAAAATTCCAGTCAAAATGATGATCCGAATAATGATAATGATAATGATGATGATGACGATGATGACGACGATAATGAAAGTGAATATGATCCTATAAAGTGGGAGGAAGAGTTTATTGTTGACTCGCCACCTTTCATACACTCAGATAGTCTTCCAATATCTGATCAAATAGGTAGGTGTTTGTAGCCGATTTCGCCCAACTGAGTAATGAGTTTATTTCGCTTAAAAACTTTCCTTTACTCCCAAAAGCAATTGCATGCTAATATAATCAGCTTTGAGCTACAATTTTTACAAGAGTTTAAAGGGGTGGAACCAAGTTTTAAACCATAGTAGTGAACAAATATTAAATACGTCAGTCACTTAATCACCATTCAACACTCACTTAACATTAAAAAAGACCTGTACATTATCATTTCTGCTTAGCCATACTGTTTCTCTTCTTGTTTAACTTCCTCAGATACAAACATACCACGCTGGCCAGTATATGATCGAATATATGTGGGAGCTGCTGTTTCTAACCGTCTTCATTTACAATCCATACTACGACTGCTCAAAATCGGTGGTATTTTAGTTGTTCCTTATCGAGATAAAGTAAGAAATAGTTTTTGAATTTTTTTTTAGTTAGTTGTTACATATAAGCAATTTGAAAACGCCTAAAATGTGTACGTACTCGAATCTTCATTCTGATGGTCATGTTATTTGAGGTTCATTTGATCACTTTTAAATGTGATGGTAAATTATCAGATCGTTGGACTTGAAACCCCAATAAACATCTGAAACATAGTGAACACGTACTCAAATTTACTTTCGTATCGTGAATGTAGATGATTAATTGATGTAAACCATTGTGTGTAGCTGTGACTATTGATGATATCTCATGCATTCGTATATGATCAGTTTATGAAGCAGTGACACTTCAACATCGTCATCAAACCCGATCAACTAACAGCTCTAAAAATGATGAGTTCTTCGGTCATACCTTTCGTTTTGCGTACACATTCACGATAGCTTAAATTAACGAAATGTATGATTTTACAATCAAAGATTAAAAACTTTTATATCGAAATCGGGTCAAAATTTGAATGAACGATCAGACACAAATTTGATTTCTAGTATATAAAAGACACTATATATAAAAACTATAGTTAGATTGATCTAATTTCAATAATTTCAACTTTTCGTTTATCAAGCTTGTCCGAACTTCATACGGGTAATGATAGAAATTGAAATTATGAAAGAATACATAAGGTATAAATAAATCTGAAAGCAAATCTACATCAAAGATGTTGAATTTTTGTATTGTAAGGACAATGTGTTTTAATATGTGGCTTGCACAGTGTAAGCAACCAAGAAATGAAATCCGCCCTCATACCCGTAAAAGCCGTTGCATCCGACTGACCGACTGACCCTTAAAAGCACACGAGACCTAATCCTACACCTCTTAATAACTCTCTTATCTCCACGATTAACCCTTCTTTCGATCGTTTATCACCTCACGCCACTGAACAAACGGTATGAGCTCACGAAACATTATTCCTGGTCTCTTGAAACCCCTCTCTAAACTACATGCTCGAGCTTCTAACGTTCGAACCTTATTCCGAATAGGGCAACAGGCTTCATTAGCTAAGACTCTAGAATCTCGTGCCACCGATATGTGTTACATCTCCGAAACGCGCATAAAAGTTCCGAGTAAAATCATCAGTTTGATTTAACCTTGTGCAAATAGAGAATCAACACGGTTTACGCTTCGTGTATCTGCTAGCCCAGCTGCTGCTTCCCGTCGCCTCGCTAGTGTAGGTAAGCTATTAAGTCTTAGGGCAGAACTAGCTATCTTAGACTGGATCCCGACAGACAGTCGCTTATGCGCTATCCGACTAAACGGGATGGTACGGACTCGGAAGGATAGGGACACTTGCCGTTGCCTCTTCGTTGTATCTGCCTACGCTCCCACTGACTGCAGTTCAGACGACATGAAAGATAGGTTTTGTAGAAACCTCTCTAAACTTGTCCAAAATGTTGGGCACTCTGATATAGTAATAATGGCTGGTGACTTTAACGTTCAAGTAGGTAGGTTCAGTGAAGAGGAAAGACACTTGGGTGGATGTTATGGTGTCGCGGCTAATAGAACAGATAATGGCGACGGTCTGCTGCAGCCATGCTCAGATAACCGCCTGTTCCTAGAAAACACAAACATTAAGCATAAGATAAAACGCCTTTTGACTTGGCGACTCCCAAAGCCGACACAACGATGGACCCAACTAGATCACATCGCTATAAGGCATCGGTAAAGAGGCTTTGTTGAAGACTGCCGCTCATTCTAGAGCACTTGTTTAGACAGACCATGCTGTATTGCGAGCGCTTATTTGTTTGCGCCTTACTGGACGCAAGGAAAATATCTCAAGGAAACCTGTTAAGGCTCAACTTAATGATAATAATGCTAAGAATGCATTTCAGAAACTACTAGAAAAACAGTCAGGTGACCGTGTAGTAAGTGATATCCACCCTGAGGCAGCTTGTAATGATATCCAAAAAACTATGGAGACAGCAGTGATATCTGAGTGTAAAGTAAACAGTAAGATTCTGTAGCATCTACAGAACTGATGGATGTTCGAGAACTCATCCTGTCTGTCTCTGAGTGTGATGAGAAGCGGAGTCAGCTTAAGCGCAGGTTGATAAAAAGCCTACGCAATGATCGCGAACTGTGGTGGGTAGCGAAAGCCAGAGAGATGAAAAGGGCAGCTATGATAGTTAACGGTAGACAACTGTTCCGACTCATCAAGGAAATTGGTACTAGGAATGCATCTGTTAGCAAAACTATTTTGAAAAATGTTGGTCTTATGATTCATTCTCAATCCAGGAGATTGGATCGTTGGGCAGAACAATCTCGGGATCAAAACAACTGGCCTTCAGCCACACACCAGTTGCTCACGATCTCCAGTCAACTAGAATGTCAAATCGATGTAAGTCCTCTGAGTCTTGAAAACGCCACAGGAAATCTGAAGCAAGGGAAAGCGGCAGGGCCTGACAAGCTTACCCCTGAGATTTTTAAATATGGTTGTCCAGTATTAACAGTAAGATTGACTGAAATCTTAGGTAGAATCTGGGAACTGGACGTAATTCCATCTGACTAGTCTCAATCTCTGATTGTCTCAGTCTATAAGAAAAGACAAAAGTTCTCTTGTGACAATCACAGGGGAATAAGTCTAACCAATAAAGTTTCAAAAATATTGGCCTTGATAATACTCCAACGTTTAACGAAAGCTCGTGAAGAGCAGACTAGAAAAAACCATGCTGGTTTTCAACTCGGTCGTGGCTGTATAGACCAGATATTCACACTACGTCAGAGCCTAGATGTCTCCAAAGCATTGCTCGTGTATCCTCGGACAACCGAGTAGGCAATGTTGTTGTCAGTAAACGATTACTAAGGATGGCAGATCAATTGATGAAGTAGTGAAACTCCATCAGTTGAAGTGGTTGTGACATGTGTTACGAATCCCCAACCACCGACTGCCTCGAAGAGCTATGTTTTGTGGTGTAGGAGTAGGCTGGAAGAAAGCTAGGGGCGGCCAAACCAAAACATGGTAGAAATCCATGAAGTCACTGACAAGTGGAATGAGTCATGTTGGTAGATGTAGGCTACCTGGTTGGGGTCCGCGAGACGAAAGTCGCCAATCGTTAGAGACCTTGGACGACATGGCTCAAAGTCGTTTGTAATGGCGCAGGTGCATTTACTCTTTGTGTTCTATGAAACTATAACCTTCTGAATTCCTCATTATCTCTATTTTTCTCTTTCTAAATTTATCTCACTGAATTATACTTCTTGAATAATATCTTCAAACCCTAGTCTTCTTCATTACCATTAATACCTCTACTATTTTTATCACTATGGGATTTGATTTGACATTTGCGTCTCTGTGCTAATGTGGTATGGCAACCTGAACTGATGTACGTATGTACGTAGTTCTGCGTTGTTACTGACTGACTGAATATATCTTAACAACTTTATCACCGAAAGCATTCAATAAGTTGGATTGATAATCTTTTCTACTAGAGACTACCAATAATACATGTAAAAGGAAATTTCGATTATCAAAGTAAAGAAAAAAAGTGCTTATCATTCTATGAATAATTCCGACTAATTTATTATTCTTTTTATCGATTACTAGCTTTATTTGATATCATCCGTTTAGTACAATATTAAATTCTCAGTACAAAGTATTTCAAGAAGTCTCTTCAACAAAAATGAAAATAAATCTATAACTGCGTACATATATACATCAAAACCAGTAAATAACCTATCTGAAAATTTAAATGAAATGTTTTTTGATAAGATGAGGATCTATATAACTCTTAATTTGTAACAGGTTTAAGAATTCGACTACTCGTTTTACTACGTTAAATATGCGGCTGCATACACGCATAATATTTTTCAGAAAATGTATCTAGTGCATGATAAGCAACCATAAAAATAACAGAATAATATAAAGATGAGTACATTTACGGAAACCGTTAGTTTATGCGTCAGCACTTGCTCGTCCTACGAAGGTCACGATGGTTGGAAATCTGTTTAATAGGTGTAGTAATCTCATCACAGAGAATAAAGACTGATAAAATGAATTAAGTTTAATCTTGTTCACACTGAAGGTGAACAATTACCCTGAAGTTTCCAAAAAAGATAATTGAAAATAAAAAGAAAATAAATTTAGTGCTTACCAAATGGATGGAAGAATGTTGTATTCATTCAGTGCGGTAACGAAACACCGAAAGGAACCAAGAAGATTCAAAAGAAGCATGATGCAAGGATCCATTTCCTTGCTAGTGATATCATAGGGCAGACATAAGTTAAAGTTAAGGATAGGTTATCAAAAGAAGAACAACAGGAATAAGTCTATGAAACTAAATACCATCAGTGTAATGTAAAATATATGGGAGAAATTTCAGCATACTGAATGTGAACTTGAAGGAGCTTGAAATATGTTTCTTGATCATCAAACGATCTAAAGAGGCTTAAGAACAGTTCAACAATAAGAATAGACGTTTGGAAAACAGGACATAAAACTAACTTTGGAGGAACTAAACACTTCAGAAACGATTTAGCGCTCACAAAGAAGGATTTCTACAAAAGTATTATACATATATGCTAATCAAAACAACCTAGATAGAAAGTATAGAATATAATTAACAAATAATCCAATTTTATTATCTATCTGGTGTATATCACCTTCAGCTTAGCTATAACAAAAGATGAACGCTTTATTATTCACACAAATATGATAATATGGATTTATCTGTTTTGTCTGTTTTCGTAACTGTGTGACTTTTCTGATTCTACGTACACTTTGACAATTTAAATGTTCACATACCACATTAACCTTACAATAAATAAAACAGTTATCTAATTTCTTGTTTATAGACAAAAGTTTCAGTAATTTATCGTATTTCGATGAACAATAACACACATATAAACACACTCTTTTTCACATTGTGAACACTTTCCACGTCCTAAGTTAGTCAGACAGTCAATTACAGCGTACGTATCATAGGATCCACCCAGGTGTCTTTCCTCTTCACTGAACCTACCTACTTGAACGTTAAAGTCACCAGCCATTATTACTATATCAGAGTGCCCAACATTTTGGACAAGTTTAGAGAGGTTTCTACAAAACCTATCTTTCATGTCGTCTGAACTGCAGTCAGTGGGAGCGTAGGCAGATACAACGAAGAGGCAACGGCAAGTGTCCCTATCCTTCCGAGTCCGTACCATCCCGTTTAGTCGGATAGCGCATAAGCGACTGTCTGTCGGGATCCAGTCTAAGATAGCTAGTTCTGCCCTAAGACTTAATAGCTTACCTACACTAGCGAGGCGACGGGAAGCAGCAGCTGGGCTAGCAGATACACGAAGCGTAAACCGTGTTGATTCTCTATTTGCACAAGGTTAAATCAAACTGATGATTTTACTCGGAACTTTTATGCGCGTTTCGGAGATGTAACACATATCGGTGGCACGAGATTCTAGAGTCTTAGCTAATGAAGCCTGTTGCCCTATTCGGAATAAGGTTCGAACGTTAGAAGCTCGAGCATGTAGTTTAGAGAGGGGTTTCAAGAGACCAGGAATAATGTTTCGTGAGCTCATACCGTTTGTTCAGTGGCGTGAGGTGATAAACGATCGAAAGAAGGGTTAATCATGGAGATTAGACAGTTATTAGGGGCTGTAGATAGGATTTAATTGTGATGGATTCTGTCTCATGTGCTTTTACGGGTATGCGAGCGGATTTCACTTCTCGGTTTCCCAAACCGTGTAAGTGCTCTGGTTGTCAGAATGGGCATCGGCCCCATGTCTGCTGAAGGAACTGTGCTTTCATCATGAGACGTTATAACTCTTCTAAATGAACACCTAACTCCCACAGCAGATTTTAAATCGTTTGAATTGATTTATTTGGTTAGCATTATTTATCGAGTTTATTGTCTACGGGATGGATTCTCCAACGATATACCTATCTCTCCTCCTTTATCGAGGCTTCGGACCGGCAGTAGCTTCGTAGGAGCTCCACGCGGACTTTGTTAACATGAATTACAGTGAATTAGTATTTAACTCAGATGAGTATTAACAACATTGTGAGAAATCAGTATGCCAAATGAGTTGGTTATTCATTGATTAAAGTATTTAACTTGAAACTACTGGGTTACAAGTTCAAATTCGGTTCTACTTACTTGGTGTAGATATTATTATTTTGCTACCCTGCTCACAAACGTTAGTTCCTTAAATTGAACACACAATCTTGTGATTGATTCTTGACTTGAAAACGCTTTTCATAGGGATGTAAAAACGAGGAAATGTTCAAACGTATCCACATCTTTGGTTCCATTACGTCTAAAAGCTGAACATAATCGGGCTATACTTGATGTTCTTAAAGTTCTATATAGGCTGACGCCATGCTTTTTTATGAAATTATTATCGCATGTTTTTTTAATCGACCAAACAATAATATGACAAAGGCAGTTGAAAAATTTGTAAGTCAAGTCACTTAAACTAAAGAAATCAAATTTTCAATTTTTCATATTTTATGCATAAGTTTTGTCTTTAAATTTTTATAAAAATCATTTTAGTTTATGAAAATCAAACGAATAGAGAAAAACAAAATAACTGCGTCGGAATTAATGTCAGTTAGCTTTGCAACTCTTCTTCCATCGTCAATAGGTTCAAGAAAACAAGTCGAATCGCGTAAGTGTCTTCCAGTTCATTAAGTTTTTCAGATATCTTTCTTTTTATTTCACAGTCATATTCCTAAAAATATAGAAATTCGTCATATTGTCTGTTGGTATGATGCACTATGATCAACCCACAGATTTTTTTTATTAATGAAAAAAATCGCACTAGCTACTGCAACTGGGCAATGAACTGTCCATTTTTGTACTTGGTTACGGATTATTTACTCCGAGGAAATTCATGATTTCACCTAATTTGACAAAACCTCAATTAGTAGAACTTTTTATAAATCTAGCTAATAGTGATTGAGCTAATGTTACGCATTAATTAGACCATAGTATTTTAGTACCATTTGGTTCATCCGAAAGATCATTCTTAATTTGATTGACGTAGCAATGATGCCTGGATGCTTGAACCTGAATGATCCGTGTTTTATCATAACAAAGAAGGAATGTGCTTTATTGAGGTTACATGTACACTCTATTGTAAAGCAGTGATGTAAATTAAAACCGGTTACTTAATCTGATTATCTCAAATTATCTCAAACATTGTTAAAACCAACTTATAATTCTGAATTCATTCGTCCGTCAATTTAAAAAACTATGCGTCAAACTATTTTGTTATTGAGGGAAAAAAATCTTGACGATTTGTCGTAGATTGTCCGAACTTTGAAATAGGACTAAATATTAGTGCCTGATGGAATTCTTTCGAGACCGGTAAACCTGGTCACCAAACTATGTTCCTGATATACATGTAGATTCATCGACAGTGTAGGTATCTTCAAATGGTGTATGTAGTTGCTAGCCTCATTATATGGTTAGTGTTTTCACAGGGGAAAAAGTACGAGCTTAGGTGTACTTCATACTGTTTTTACGAGGACTTAAAATCAGTCGTTTCTGTGGTTTGACACGTAACGAATGCAAATTCAGCCTTAACTGTTTCGCTTGGTAAATAAACCGGTCTTAACGAACGATTGGAAAGAAAAAAATTTGGGTTTTAAGTTATTTCACTTACTCCTATTAAGAATCGATAGTTAACTTCACAAATATTCTTAGCTCATCGCACGAATGAATGAAAGCGAGTCAGTCAGTCAATCAGCAACAATGTAGAACTTAGTATGTACGTACATCACTTCAAGTTGCCATACCACTAGCACAGAGATCAAATTTTCAACTCAGTTTCTGAAACGGGGGAAGTAGTAGCACTATTAGTGCTAACCGAAAAGATTAGGGATGGAAGATAAGATCCGAAAGGTATAAATCAGTAAGATAAATTTAAAAAACATCACAAGGAATTCACAAAATTAGAATTTGAGAGTAGACAAAGAATATATGCATTCGCGCTATTGCAAACGATTTTGAGCCACGTCATTCAAAGTCTCTAACTACCGGTTGCTATTATCTCACGAACCCCAACTAGGTAGTCTACACTTACCAATATGGCTGAATCCGGTTGTCAGTGATTATTCAAGATAACATCTGATTGTCAACGTCATATCAAATCACGGCATCATGCTAGACTGGTGTTTAACATCAATACAGTAAATAGGTATAAATGGAATGTGATGGATTTTTACTCGTTTAATTATGAACAGGTGCAGGCCAGTCACTGACAGCCGGACTCAGCCATGTTTGGTAGATGTAGACTACGTGGTTGGGGTCCGCGAGACGATAGTAACTGATGGTTCGAAACCTTGAACAACATGGCTCAAAATCGTTTGCAGTGGCGCAGGTGCATTCATTCTGTGTTCTATGAAATTCCAATCTTCTGGATTCGTCAGCACCTCTACCTTCGTCTTTCTAAATTTATCTTACAGAATTATACCTATCGAATCATATCTTCAAACCCTAATCTTCTCCATTACTGTTAATCAGTCAGCTGCAACGTAGAACTTCGTACGTATGTACATAAGTTCATGTTGCCATACCACATTAGCACAGAGACGCAAATGTCAAATCAAATCCCATAGTGATAAAAATAGTAGAGGTATTAATGGTAATGAAGAAGACTAGGGTTTGAAGATATTATTCAAGAAGTATAATTCAGTGAGATAAATTTAGAAAGAGAAAAATAGAGATAATGAGGAATTCAGAAGGTTATAGTTTCATAGAACACAAAGAGTAAATGCACCTGCGCCATTACAAACGACTTTGAGCCATGTCGTCCAAGGTCTCTAACGATTGGCGACTTTCGTCTCGCGGACCCCAACCAGGTAGCCTACATCTACCAACATGACTCATTCCACTTGTCAGTGACTTCATGGATTTCTACCATGTTTTGGTTTGGCCGCCCCTAGCTTTCTTCCAGCCTACTCCTACACCACAAAACATAGCTCTTCGAGGCAGTCGGTGGTTGGGGATTCGTAACACATGTCACAACCACTTCAACTGATGGAGTTTCACTACTTCATCAATTGATCTGCCATCCTTACCTAGTACTCGTTTCCTAACGACAGCATTGCCTACTCGGTTGTCCTAGGATACACGAACAAGACATGTATGATCGAATACTAACAATCTACCAACATCTACTCTTAACGGCCATGTTTCGCATCTATATAGGAGAACGGAGCGAACTGCTGCGCAGTACACTCGTCCTTTGGTTAGCGAACGGATATCTCGCCTACGCCATAAACGGCGTAAATTGGCAAAAGCAAATCGAGCTTTCTGTATCCGCGTTGAGATTTCGTCAGTCACCAGGCTATCAGCGCTGATGAGACTCCCCAGATAAGTGAAGCGGTCTACACGCTCGACTACTTCACTCTCTATCACTAGTCCGGGTTCCGATGCAACCCAGTCTTGAAGCAACATTTCGCATTTCGAGGGGGGGGGGGAAACCGCATCCCGAACATGCTTGCATTATTGCTTATGGTAGTCAGAAGACTGCATTTTGTCAGCGGCTTCACCGAATAGAACTATGTCTTCGGCATATTCTAGGTCAGTAAGCGACTTTCCTGGTAGAAGGTCAACCCGTGAACTGTTAATACTTCTACTATCTCCACCACTATTGGATTTGAACTGATAATTGCGTCCCTGTGCTAATGTGGTATGGCAACCTAAACTGATGTACTTACGTACGAAGTTCTGCGTTGTTACTGACTGACTGAAGGAATATTTAACTTAAAAATTACAAGTTCTTAAGCCTTATGTTGTTGTCTAACTACAATCTATAGAGCAACCTTTTTGCAAGCGCTAATAGCTGTACACCACAAGTAGTTAATGCTAGTTTTCAGATATGTGGACATTTGACACATATTGTACTTGTACCGTATAAAAATCAACGTTCTGAAATAATACAACCCACGATTCGCTTATATACTGCATTATGCGAAACCTGCTACTTGCAGACTGATTGCCCAGTGTGACTTTCTAAACTGCTGTAGCTAGTATGAGGTTTGAATTCATATCTCGTAGTTCAAACCATAAAACCACAACTTCTGTTTCTAAAGTTCTTATAATAATCTTCTTCTTTTTCTGGAGTAATACAGTAAATGAAAGTTTACGTTGCAATTCAGTAGTTGCTTCACGCAAAGCAAACCTATCACACTTTCTCTGCTGAAGCTGCTGCTACACTGGTCGTCTTCTCTTTCATTTGTTGTTGCATGTGGGATAGAAGAGCTAGATCATCTGCGAAATCCAGGTCGTCAAGCTGTATCCGAGCTGTCCACTGTATCCCTTGTTCCCCCCCAGATGTTGATGTCTTCATAATCCAGTCGACCACCAGGAGAAATAGAAAGGGTGAGTATACAACCTTGCCTGACACCGATCTTCGCTTGGAACGAGTCTGTGAGTTTTCCTCGATGCACAGTCTCGCAGTGTAGTTACCATAAGAATTCCGTATGATGTTGACTATCTTCTCAGGTACGCCGTGGAAATTCAACACTATTTTGAGTAATATCTATATATATTTGTTTACAGTCGGTCAAACTAAATAGAATACGCATTTGGGGAAACCTGCCCAAGCATAAGTCATAGGGTTATTATAACAACGAAACATTGAAATTTATATTTTTTAAGATTTATTAAACTTAGAAGTCATTCTCATTGTAAACAGATAATTATACCTAGATTGAAATTGGAAAATCACTGTCGGATTTTCGTCAACAGCCTTACAGTATCCACGTATATCTAGAATAAAGAACAAATATTAGAGTTCCGATTGACAGACATAACAGTTACACTGATTTCAATTCTTCGATTTATAGGCCCTAAAAATACTGAAAACGTATAAACCGTTATTCGTTTGTACGTTTAATAAAGTTAAATAATTACCTTCCTTTGTCCATTGTTTCCTACTACAGCTCCTAAACAAAATGTGATATCATTGGAACAATTAGCCGCACGCTTAATACGCAGCCTTCTTCGAAACGTCATCGAATTCCGTCATAATGGTCCACCAATACTTGGCCATATGGAAGCAGTAGGAGAAGAGGAGGATGGTGAAGTGAATACTGTCTGTGATTCAAATGAAGATTCTGATGCTTGGATGAATAATCCTGACACAGAAGAACCTGATGAACCAAATAGGGAAAGTGCTGGTAGTTTGCTACAACCTAGAAGTCCTTGTAGCAGTCCGGCTTCACAAAATTGCTCAATGGCTCGATTTCTGTAAGTTTTTTATCTTTATTTTCTAAGGTATGTTAATAACATTTTTTGCTCAAAATGAAACCAAACATCTATTCAACCTGTTTTATATTGATACTATAATCACAAATCTTGATTGTGATAATCTCAGCTATTTTCTGTGTATTATTCATTCCCGTACTATCCATCTTCTATTCTGATTCAATGGATAAACTAAATGTAACGCGAACCAGTCATAAACGGGGGTGCGGAAGCGCATTGTTGATAGTCAGAACTCATAGTTTAACATTTAGATAGTGATTAGTTGAACTTGGCGATAGGTTGTAGGACCAGTGCCTTGTCACTTTAATTTATTCATCCATGTCATCCTGATTAATCTAACCAAAGCACTTTGTAACCGTAATTGTGTGATATAATTCCACTACTAATTGTTCACTCATACCTGAGTAATACCGATCAGTAAGATCTACTAGTTATATAGTGAGGTGGCTCCGTTCAGAAAAATAAAATATATTTTTGCATGGATGCATTTTATCTCAGAAAAGATCATTAACTACCATTAGTTCTTCTGTTCTATGAACAACTGTACTGATTAATATTCAGATTAGTTAAAATGGATATTAACTACGTACATCCTGTGTGGATTGCCATTGTGATATAGGTTGATATGTTATAAATGGAAATTGGCTAGTAAGTGGAATTTAGGACGCGCGTTTCGTCTTATATGATGTTTAGTTCGGGCCTTGAACCCGATATCGTTCGCTTCACTGTTTTATCCACTTTGCTACTAAGTGCAGCCAATCACACTTGTGCAACGGGTTTGAGTCCAACACTGATGATTAACTTTGGGTTGTAGGCATATCCAGCTGACGAGTGCCAAAAAGAGCGAAATGTGAGTTCTGAATTCCGCTACTACACTATCCCATTCTGTGTTATATTCGAAAAACTTGGTGTTGGCTGTAACTCATTTTGTTTCTCCATACCTTATTCTAAGAGAAAGTGATAGACTTCAAATAATTCTAATCCTGGAAAAGTGTAAAAAGCCTTTAATCGATCCGCGTCACTACACAAACAGTTCGGATTTTATATATGAATATCATCTATCATAATATTCAATAAATTTAAGGCAGTTTTGTTATAAAATATATAAGGGAAAAAATTGATAAGTAGATGTTTTCCAACTGGTGATCGTACTGAATAGATCAATACTCATTCGCAAACTAACATGCACCAGTACTATGAGGAGTTAGCGTTAGGTTTATGTATCATAGAATTTTGTTGTCTCCTCTACCACAAGTTTTCATCATCATTTAGTAATTCAACTTCCACTGACAATATCACTTCATACATATGTGCATGCCTTAAAAATGGCCCGGAAGTTTCTTACTCTACGGTAAAGACCCTGCACCATAGCATTCATTTGTGTGATTATCATATTGCCTTTTCTTTCGGTGAAGATACTGTTCAATATCGATCATTGTTTTTATCATTAATATTTCATGAATTTAGTTTTATAGTTTCATTATTATTACTGCACTCTATTTTCTTACTCCTATGATCAGTTCAGATGTTTAGCTATTTTCATATAATCCATCTTCTTTCCGATAAATAAGATTACTGTTTACAGTAAGTAAACATTAATTACAGTTTAAGTCAGCTGATAAAACAGTAAATGGGAAATTTCCAACACATTAAAATGTTCTCTACATAATAACTTAGTTTTACTGGTCGATTTTAACTGTTCATGTTAAAAATCATAACACCATGTCATGTTGATTATTGAAATATAATTAGCGGCATCATTTTTGTTCACAGGTTTTAGTTTTTTGGAGAAAGTATTAACTCTTGTTAGCGTTATAAATATTCTTTGCTAATTTACAGCAACACTTCAGATAGGGTTTCTTGTCAATAACTATCGAAAGTGACAAACCCAATACCCCTTCCCCAATTCATCTTATGACAGAGTTGATAAAACTCTTTAATAAAAGAATCTGGTTACCTACGAGTGTAATATGACTTTCATTAACAAATATTGTGAAATTTATATTTTTGATTTTAATTTCTGTACATACATACATACGTATTTGAAAGTGAATTTTCACGAATATCGCAATTAATTAATACAATTTTCTTCATTATTTGCATGATGTTTTTTGCTCTTTTTCTCAATACTTATTGGTTGTTTTTGCATGTGGTAAAAACGGTAATCACAGGCGTTTAGCTTATCTGTATGTGTTGCATTTGTCTTTGCTCATTTTTTTTATATCAATACCAAAATTGATTTTAAAAAAATGATGGAATGTTCAACATATTAACTGAATTTTGTTAAATATATTTTATTTACATGAGAGCGAAATGAGATAATATGAGGGCACTGATAAAGCCTTTGTATTCAAATGAACATGTTTTGCCAGTTTGATTTTCCTCACTTTACTCACTATAATATACATTATATGCACAGGTGGAATGTTTATAGCACTTCCTTTGGGTTTATATATATATATATATATTGCTATCGTTATGATTTATTTTGTTTCCAGGCTGTCTACGCAGTGTGAACCGAAAATCACAGTGATTGCATTTTTGTTTTTGACCTAACATTTTGTCCCTACAACCTTAAGAACAACTTTGGAATTGAATAAATTATAGAATATTCGTGAATGACATATAGTCATCGATCATTCGATGGTAGAGTCGTATTGTTGAAGATGATGCTTATCAGCACTATGTGGTTTTCAGTAAGCGCATCCGGCTGTAGTCGGCAATATATGTTGTCAACAATTAAATTTTCCGCTTTTGTACTCACCGCTATCCAATCAATTATACTGATAGCTTAGAACGTTTTAAACTAAACCGATATAAATTAAGAATTACTGGAGAATAGTCAAAAAAAGTTGACTGACACTTTTTGAAAGGACTTCACTGACATTATCAAGGTTGGCATGGATCGTAATTCAGTAGTATTTCCTCAGTGAATGAAACCTTACTTTTGTGAATGATATATTATGCATGTTGTTCATCCATATAAACCACTCATAGAATGAGATGACTAATACGCTTTTGTGTTCACTTTCTTTTGGCAATGTGTAGACACTATTTGATTAATCACACAGAGATAGGCCATGACAGATCACAAGGTTCACATCAAAATTCAACCAATGACAATGCCAACACAAATAGAACGAATTCGGGTGATTCGCAAAGTAATACAACTGCAGTTGAAGCGATGTAAGTGTGTGATATTTCTCTAAACACTGTTACAGTTGTGATCAATATGTAGTACTTATATTCTGTACTATAATTAAAGACACTAACTGAAAGCGGGTTGCCTTCACCGGTAATATATTTAAGATATATATATATATATATAACACTTTGATAACCAAATCGTAACATGAAAACATTAATGCTGACTTATTCCGCTTAAAATGTCCCAAGTAACCATTATGGGAAGTAATGGATCATAGTGAGTGGGAAGCCTGTTTCGAACCCTCGATACTGTCAATTGCAACTGGTCATTTTCATACCTTACAGTGTCATGTTTTATTAATTTTCGTATGCTTGAAAAACATTATTAGTAACCTAGTGGTTCGAATTTATGTCCACTCATCAATCTGATAATCTACTCCGTCCTTGCTCGTATCTATCATGTGATATAGAAAGTTCTATTGACATACCCCCGCTAGTGTTACGATTCAAAGTCATTTAGTCTTTTGAACCTCCGTGCACTAAAGTAACCTCTCTACTTCTTGTGGCTAAAGTTCAGATACGATTTCACTTTCGAGGTCACTTGCCACTCATTCTTAGCTTATCGAAATATATTTGAATTAGCTGAAGGATAAGTTACAACCTTATATGAAACTGGGGATCTACGTTAAAAATACAGATACAATAACTTATTCGTAAATATACACTTTTCAACTAGGTTGGACTTATTCATTTTTTTAGGCTTGCTTATTCCTTAAAGATTTTTGTGACTAAACGGAACTGTTAGCGGGAATATGATTCATGTGTTTAATCGACTTAATCTTTGAAAAATTTTAACAGTTACTTTTTAAATAGAGATGCCGAGGGTGGAGGTTCGGGCGAGATTGCAACCGAAAATCACCGTAGCAGCTCACCTTATCTACGCATCAATATTTGCCGTTTTTTAAACGATGTTAGTGACACCATTATCGGAAGCTCTACCGGTCAAGAACATCCTAACGCGGATGAGGATAGCCAAATTAATGGAGGTGTGAATACAGGGGCATCCGTAGATAACGAATCAACAACTGATGAAAATGTGAAAAAGAAATCTACACCTCAAAAACAACGAAAGAAATTTCGTTGGATTCCTCCAAGTTACACTTACAAAGAAGAAATGAAACGTATACTTTCCGAAGAATTACATCTTGGGAAACCTTTAATTCGATCCGTGATTACATTGTGAAATAGATTACTTTAAACTTATTTTATCCCTTCAATCAGATAAACCCTATTCAAAAAAAATTATATATAATTCTGTAAGGCATGTTGTCACTGAGCCTTCATAAACTACTTATTTTTATTTCATAACTCCCCCGTGTTTTCTCATAATTCTGTCAGAAAATTCCCGAACTTTGCTGTTTCCTTTTATCTTTCTACGCATGAAAATTACATAGTTCATAAGAAATTTATCTCCGAATATGATTATGAAAGAAAGTAATTTCAAATTACAACTCTATTATTCAGTCTTCCTTTTTTTGCTTAGTGCACCGGGTACTTCACTTATACGGCCTCTGTAAGGATTCCATGGTCTGAACCACAAGCTCCTGAAACAATATGTACAGAAAAGAGAAACATTACGTTTAGTAAGATACAAAATGTTTGACTGTATTCATTGCAGAAACTGCACACCACACAGTTATTATTAGTGTAAGTAAAAGATGAACGATAACAATACTTTACTATAGTCGAAATACTTATCGCAAAGATCAATAAAAATGTATAACCCCGAAACAGCTAACAAATCTTAGACGAGAGTAAAAACAAAGATTGATGCAGAATAATATGTATTTACAATAGAAAAGTTGTAAGCAGCTGATGAGGACCTAGGGAAAGAAAACGAATTCATACTATTTTGCACCAAACTGTGTTTCTACTCTCTTCAAAATAATAAATGGATCTACGTCTATGAAATCTTTAAAAATCCAAATGGTGAGCGCACTCTCTTACATAATGTTTGGTAAGAGCGACTAATATTACCATCTATTGTCATAACATTTCGAGGCTCACAACTATTAAATTCTTTAAAGTAAATTCAAAACGCATTCGCTAACTTCCTGATCGATGTAAGCATCGATTAGTATGATATATAAATACCACTAACTTCATCTACCACGAGCTAATTTGAGCTATCTAGTTTCATTTGACTGAGTGTTTTTATATTTGACAATTTTTAGCTAAAACTGAAAGAACAAAAAATGAGCATACTTACTTATCTGGAATATCAGTATTTTCAGTACTATTTTCTTTGCTGGAGCTTTTAAGTACCTTGTAAGCAAGGCGTCTTTCGCCACGCCGACGACTAATTGAACCACTTAAAAGTTTTTTCCTGTCAGCTTTTGTTTGTTTACACATAAGATTTACTCGCCGTTTCTTCCATTCATTCACAAGTCTTTCTAGTTCTTCATCAACTTCAGAACCGCTTCGTTTCATTACAGACAATATCCCATCCATATGCGGGAGGTCAGAATCAGTCCACAAGGTAATTGCCCGCCCATGGTGACCAGCTCGGCCAGTTCGACCAATGCGGTGTATATATTCTTGCTTTAGTGGAGGAACATCATAATTGACTACCATACTGACACCCTAGTAACCATACAAAATATTTTAAAATTTGTGAATATTTAGGCGATTGGGGATATGAAAACAGTAAGGTTATATGTTAATAGTCTAAATATACATCACACTCAACAAGTTTTAAACTTTCACTTATTTGTACTGTAGATCCATCTTTTTACGAATTCATTGTCAAAAGGCCCCGAATGCCCTGATACGGCTGAGAGTGGGAAGAATCCACTCTCCCTTTCCTATAGCCACTGCCATGGATGTCCTACTCACTGTCTTATCGTGTTGTTTACAACATTAAAAGGATGAAAAGCGAATGTCTGGCGTCTTAACTATGTTAGTGGGTACACAGGACACACCTAGGGGAGTTGGAGAATTCCAATTCCGAACTAATGGTACATATAGGCTACAGAAATCTGAGGGGACACAAATGGTGTACAAACCTATTAGTGGTCAGTGACTACTAAGAGACTGCATCTCCTGACGTTGCTCCACTGTTTTTTAGATTATACCTTTTGATCAAAGGCTCTGGGAGTGACCCAAGAAAACCAACTGTTTTGGCTGAGGTGACCGGACAGTATTCTAGCCCACATTGGTTTGTGTGATGAATAAATGTTTAGGTCTTTTTGTAACCAATCGTGGTTAGATAAAAGTAATAAAAAAATCAATAATAAAAGAATCCCTGATAGATGTCAAAAAATAAAGCAGAACAACTTAAGTGCGAAGCACACCATACAATGAACATTTGATCCTAATAGATTTTAAGTGTTGCCATTATATTTGAAGTTTAGTGTGCTGACAGTAATTTATATGCAACAGCACAATGATCCATCTCTAAATGGTAAATGGTAATAATTTGAAGCTAAACCTCAAGAGTGCTGATCTCAAGGAATTATAACTCATTCGCGCTAAAACGTTTTGCTGCTTTTAATTTACTGCAATAAAAGATAGGATAATGAATAAAGAAAGTATTATTCATCAGAGCTGTAAATGAAAATATGGAAGAAAAAAGAACAACAAATGATTAGTCTTTTTGATATTTATATATGGTACATAAAACAACTAACCAGTAGTTCAATTTCAAGAACTTACTTTAAAGTCTATTCCACGACCCAATAAATCTGTACATATAAGAACATGAAGTTGTCCCTGACGGAAAGCACGAACCACACTTGCACGCTTAAAAGAAAAAAAGGTTAAAAGCTTTATCGAATCTGTAAAGGAGCCATGACAGTAATTGGCACAAAACATTCCCTTGACTTGTGCATTAAAAATAACGCTTGATAAAACCATTAATTTTATACATTGAATTTGCAACCAACCATGCTTATTTTCCTACGGAGAGGTTGCCTAGTAGTTAAAACACTGGCCTTTCCATTATTAGGTTGAAGGCTGGACGCACCCTCCTCCCAACCGATCTATTTTGATCTGGGTAGTCAGGTAACATCAACACGTGTTGTGAAAATCTGCGAGGCCAAGTGTTATAAATCTCTCTTAGTAAACCCAGCTATTCTTGTTGCTTAGTGATCTCTGACAACAATACAGTCGACAAATCCCCAAATCAAAACACGGTTGAACAAGAAAAGATTATATTCCAAATAGCAAGGTTAAATAGAAGCCGAAGCGAAGGTGAAATAGGAACAACGTTAGTCCCTTGATAGTTTTGATATGAGAAGCTTCTAGAATGTACTCCAAGCATCGACCAGGCGCTGACTGGATAGGAATTAGCCAATCAGCGCGCAGCTAACGCAGTCATGCTTTAATCCATCTATGTCCCGCTGTGGTGTGTGCTACTTATACGAACGATATAAGTAGTATAAGAATGGACGTGAAAGAAGAAGTCTCACGGTCAGAAGAGGAAAACGGAAAGCAAATAGAGCAAAAACAAGAAATAAATAGAGCATCGACAGGAAGTAAAGGAAGCAACAGCAGGAATGGAAGAAGGCTGGAGCGTTGGAAGTCAGGACTCAAAGATGATGTGCAAATAGAGTGTTCAATGTGATGTTTTCGTTTTTAATTGACTAAGAGTGTAAATTTGCCAAATACAATCTATCGAGCCTGCTTCAGTCTTCTCACCACTAACACCAGATTGGGTATATGTACATACCTGGTAAAATTAGTAGAACAGACTTCTGTATTTTTTCATTCCTAAATTGTTTAAAGTCGTTTATTACTTATACATAAGGATGTGACGGTTTTTGTCGTTATTTGGCACCATACACGTTTTTCAGCAGTGACTAAACACAACACCAAAATATTTACAGAAGTGGTGGGCATCATCACAAAAACCATTTTTGTATGAAGTCTAAAAAATTTAAGTTCTCTTAGTGACTAAATAACTCATCTACAAATGTATAGTCAGTCAGTTACAACGTAGGACTTCGTACTTGAGTACATAAGTTCAGGTTGCCATACACCATCAGCACAGAGACGCAACTGACAGTTCAAATCCCATAGCGGCAGACATAGAAGAAGTATTACTGGTAATGGAGACGATTAGGGTTCGAAGATAGGAATCGAGAAGTATAACTCAGTGAGATAAGTTTAGAAAGAGACGATGAGAAACTCAGGTTAGAATTTGAGAGAACGCGATGAATGAATGCACCTGCGCCATAGCAAACGATATACTAGCAATGCTTCTAAGACACCTATAATCAAATACTAATAGCCTACGAATGTCCTCTGCTCTTACCGGCCATGAACTCTTGCGCATTTCACTTTTCCTTTGGTTAGCAAATGGTTGTCTCGCATACGCCATAAGTGACGCAAATCGGCAAAGCCAATCAAGCCTTCTGTATCCATGCTGAGATTTCGTCAGTCGCCAGGCCATTAGCATTGATGGGACTTCCCAGATAAGTGAAGCATTCTACACGCTCAACTACTTCAATCCCTATCACTAGTTCAGGTGTCAATGTGACCCAATCTTGAAGCAGCATTTTGCATTTCGAGGAGTAGAACCGCATCCTGAACTTGCTTGGATTGTTGCTCAGGGTAGTCAGAAGACTGCATTTTGTCAGCGTCTTCACCGAATAGAACTATATCATCGGAATACTCTAAGTCAGCCAGCGTGTCTCCTGGCAAAACGTCCACTCCTGAAAAGTCAGACGATGATAATGTTAACTCTGAAAACATATCTACGACAAAGTCCAACAAACGTGAAGAGAGTGGACAGCCTAACGGACACCACTTGAAGTATCTGATTCCGATGATAGTTCGCCATAAGCTCTAACTTGACCAGTGGTGTTCGAGTAGAGAGCCCGTATAAGGTTAATAAACTTCTTTGGTACACCTTTTAATGACAGACACTGCTACAGAACCTCACGACCAAGAGAGTCGAATGCCGCCTCAAGGTCGAGAAATACTACTATTGTGGGGCGTCAGAACGAGTGTCTATGTCCTAGGACCTGAAGTAGTGCAAATATCTGGTCTTTACATCCACGTCTAGGTTGAAAACCAGCATGGTTTTTTCTAGTCTGCTCTTCACGAGCTTTCGTTAAACGTTGGAGTATTATCAAGGCCAATATTTTTGAAACTTTATTGGTTAGACTTATTCCCCTGTGATTGTCACAAGAGAACTTTTGTCTTTTCTTATAGACTGAGACAATCAGAGATTGAGACTAGTCAGATGGAATTACGTCCAGTTCCCAGATTCTACCTAAGATCTCAGTCAATCTTACTGTTAATAATGGACAACCATACTTAAAAATCTCAGGGGTAAGCTTGTCAGGCCCTGCCGCTTTCCCTCGCTTCAGATTTCCTGTGGCGTTTTCAAGACTCAGAGGACTTACATCGATTTGACATTCTAGTTGACTGGAGATCGTGAGCAACTGGTGTGTGGCTGAAGGCCAGTTGTTTTGATCCCGAGATTGTTCTGCCCAACGATCCAATCTCCTGGATTGGGAATGAATCATAAGACCAACATTTTTCAAAATAGTTTTGCTAACAGATGCATTCCTAGTACCAATTTCCTTGATGAGTCGGAACAGTTGTCTACCGTTAACTATCATAGCTGCCCTTTCCATCTGCCTGGCTTTCGCTACCCACCACTGTGCGCGACCATCGCGTAGAATTTTTATCAGCCTGCGTTTAAGCTTACTCTGCTCTTCGTCATGTTCAGAGCCATATGGGATGAGTTTCCGACCATCCACCAGTTTGGTACACGCTACTAAAATCCACGGCTTCTTCCTAGCCTTATGGTTTACCTTACTAGCAGATATCACTGCGTTCCAAAGCTGTTTGGATATCGTTTCAAGCTGCCTCCGAATAGGAATCACTTACATGATCGTCTAACTCTCTTTCTGGTTGCTATAACTAAGTAGCACCCTATGAGGTTTACTTGCGGTGTTTTTCCTACGTTCAGTAAGCCCCAAACAAATACGCGCTCGCACTAGAGCACGATCTGAATCTAAACATGTGCCCCAGAACGAGTGACAGTCCTCTATCGAACATCACCATCGGTGGCTGATGTGATCTAGTTGGGTACAACGTTGAGAAGACTTTAGGGATTTCCAGGTCAAAAGATGTTTCTACTTATGTTTAAAGTTAGTATTTGCTAGAAATAGGCGGCTATCTGAGCACAGTTGCAACAGACGGTCGCCATTGTCTGTTATTTGAGCCGCGACACCATAACATCCACCCAGGTGTCTTTCATTTTCACTTAGTCTACCTACTTGAGCATTAAAGTCACCAGCCCTTACTGCTACATCAGAACGCCTAACTTTTTGGAGGTCCGACAGCTTTCTGTAAAACTCATCTTTAACCTCGTTCGAACTGCAGCCAGTGGGAGCGTAGACAGATATGACGAAGCGGCAACAACGAGTGTCCCTATCTTTCCGAGTCCTTACTGTCCAGTTTAGTCGTACAGCGCATAAGCGACTATCTACTGTAATCCAGCCTAGGATAGCTAGTTCTGCCCTATGACTCAATGCTATACCTACACCAACGAGACTCTGGGAAGCAGCATCAGGGCTTCCAGGTATACAAAGAGTAAACCGAGTTGTTTCTTTATCTTGACATAGTGAGGTCAAGTGAACGACGCTACTCAGATTCTGTATGCGCATTTCCGAGACGCAGCATACATCGATGGCGTGAGACTCTAAAGTCCTGGTTAAGGAAGCCTGTTACCCTACTTGACACAGTGTCCGTACATTAAATGCTCCAACATATAATTTAGAACGAAGCACCAGGAGACCAGGAATAACGTTTCGGGAACTCGCATCGTTTGCATTAGCGGTGTGGGGTGATAAAGGAATGTGAGAAGAGTTAGTCGTGAAGACAAGGAGGATGTTAGGGGGTGTAGAAAGGATTTGATTGTGGCCAGTTTAATCTCGTGCACTTTTATGGGTATGAGGGCGGATGTTACTTCCAGGCCGCCCACACCGTGGAAGGGTGTTTCTTAAGGAACCTGAAAAGGAAGGTAGATTAATGTCGATCTTAGAGATCTGGGAGCGTGACCGCAGAGTTTAAGGGACAACTGCTTGAGGCTGGTCACGCACGGCCATTTTATGGGAAGTTTTTAAAGTGTTAGCTCAGTTTTTTAAAAGGCCTCACCGCCGGAGACGGAAATCCGTAATGTAAGGTGAGGTGTGACATTTCTAGGGTCGACCTTTTCTAAACCCTCCTTACTTGTGAGAAAGCAGCATCACTGCAGATGCTGGTTGTCCAAGGGAAACATCTTGCTGTTATAGCCCTCTACAGTCAGCAGTACGAGTTCACCTTCAGACCTTCAGTAGCTGTTTCTAGTCTCATCGTTCTCCAATCGACCTGCCTAGCATGGTAGAACCTACAGAAACATATGTTCCAGCCAATATAGCTCGGTTGGGTCATCATGATATGCAAGCCCGAACACTACGTCAAGGTAGCAGCTACGGTTGGAACAAATGTATAACTGAGTGGTATTTATCCATATCTGCACGGGACAATAATTGGTTTACTTTAAAATATGCAATTTACAAATGTCTGTCTCATGATTCTTTAGGTTCTCATCTTATAAAGCGGACAGAAACTGTCTAATAAGAAAGAAGATTCATGGATAAACCAAACCATATAGCATGAACTCTGGTAAAGCATTTTTATTTCTAATAATTTCAAATCATATTGACCACTTCATGACCGCTGCAGTCTTCACAAGAAAATATGCACCAAGTAGAAAATAAACTTTGACATAAAAATCTCCCTTCAAAAATGTATACATACCTGAGCTTCTGTTTTATCACTTGAAATAACATTCGCAAGAATATCTGAATCAGACAATAAAATTTCCTTAAGAATTTCGTTGGCTCTATCTCGAGACTGCATAAAAATTAAGCATGGATAAGCTAGTCCATTAGCCAGTAGATAACGCATCTCTAACAGTTTTCCCTGTTCTGTAGCACAATAACGTAACTCTTGTTTGACAGTAGAAACAGCAGCATTTCTACACGAATGGTCCGAAAAAAAGATATACGAAATTCTCAAACTTAAAAATAACATAAGTAAAAAAATTTAACAATGTCAAAAAAAGGTAGTCGTCTTAAACTAAAATGGTGACGGTAGCTATTAACATCCAGTTACCTAACAACTGTGCGTCAACTCTTGAACCTGGGAAAAGCAGATACTCAACTTACTCCTCACAGTACTACTTCTTGTTACACGACAACCGGAACTTATAAACTGTTGCACCTACTGTGGTGCGCGCTACTTATAAGTAGTATGTGACGTAAGTGTGAACGTAATGTCTGGCAGCAGAAGATAGGGGAAGATCAAGAAAGGAAGAGTGGGAACACAATGGAATTTGTATGAAACGCATGAATAAGTGAAATGTCAGACAATGGATTGATGATTGATTGAAGATTTTCAAATTAACGGTCACGATATGGTTTTCCTATTTTACTGAGTAACTCTGTAATTTTCGTTAAATACAATTCGGTTGCCCCACCTGTGTTCTCCTTCACTACACTACTACTATTCAAATTAGAGGTTACGTTTATATTTGATTAAATTGTATTTGATAAAATGAATCAATCTTTACAATCCAAGGATTTGATGGATCAAACGACGTCGAACTTATATCTGTAATAGTTGGCTGAGATCAATTTTGAAAAAAAGTATATTCACTTATTTTAAAAAAATTACTTGTGAATATTTTGCAACTGTTGTTTAATGTTTACTTGTTCATTGGAAAGTAAATTGTAGTCACACCCTAGTGGTTGAATTTGTGATGCACTCCTGTTCACACAGGTTTATTTGGAATATAATACGTATATGTACAACTCTCGTGTTCGTTTTGATGACTAGTAGAGGAAGTAGTGTCCGACAAACATCAAGAATAAAACTGGGATGAATAAACAGAGGTCTTAACGGAAAAATTTAAATAGGTTGACAGAAAGTAGATCTTTTGTTCTTAAACAACTACGTACATACATTTTCCGCCATTTAGCACAATCTGTCCAACATATTAATAGATTACGAAGCATTAGGAAAAATCCTGACCTTGGTAGTTGTAGAAACACCGAAGTTTAGTAAATAGTGGCTCAACTTAACGTTTCCATTCAGCTTAACAATCAAAACACACATATGCTGGTTTCGATTACAAAACTGAGATGTTAAACAAAGTAACACTACTTAAATACGAAGTAAAATGAATGAACTTTTGACAATCCCTTACTTACCGGATACCAACTCGTAATTGGACTAACTCATATTCCAAATCACTCAATTTTAGGAGGACAGGTAGCTGATTTCGTACCCATGAAACAACCTCATCAGGAACAGTAGCCGAAAATAAAGCGACTGTAAGTTTTCTATTTGACTGTCCACCGAGGTCAACTTTCTGAATCGCTTCAAAAATAGGTGCAACTTGATTGTGAAATCCTCGAGGTCGGTATTTCGCCATGTTACTATGTTCTGATTTAGAAAAAGATATATCGTTGAAATTGACTTCCAGCATCTTATCACATTCATCTATCACAAGCCAAGAGAGTCTAAATTGTGTGAAATAGCAAACGGTATTACTTTGTTATTTTACAAGCTAATCATGGTGGGACAAACAAAAATACCTTTCGGAAGATACAGGTAAAAAAGTTGGCTAATTTATGCAAACCAACAGTTGGTATTCTGCGAAACGAAAACGGACTGATTGTTGTGGTCATATACCACACTGTTCGGCAAGTAACTACTTTAGTCATACAGCATCTTAAAGACTCTACTTGCACCTATGAATATTGTAATAAATGTGGGTATTTTGACTTAATTATCATCATATAAAATAATAGTACTACCACATACAACAGAGGATGTATGACAGGAAATTACATCTAAATATGTGGATATATACTTCTAACAGGTTCTAAGTATAAGAGGTAAAATTTGCAAGGTTTGGACTTGGTAGCAGCTTGAAAAACTACTGCTAAAGTGAAAATGTAACTGAAACTAATTAGTTTCGTCAAAAATTTTAACCTGTGAAACTTCCATAAACCGGAAGTTGCAGTGAATTTCGGTGAGTACGTAATAACTTAACACCCTGTAAGTAACTTCCTAACCCCCAATGCAGTACCAAACCGGAAGAATATTAACAGTGGTGAAATCAGGAAACCTACAAATTAACTTAAAGATACAAGGCAAGCATGAAAACACAGTTAAATGGGATCTATGGAGAATCACAGAGCCAACCTTACGAAAGGAACACCAGAAATGATCTTCATCTTCCTTAACAGAAAATCTTTTTGGTAGACAGCATATATTGATGTCTGTAACTCGACCGTTACCCAGAAAACTTACTTGATTTCTTTTACCTAGTGAAAAAGTTCGTCGCATAAGTAACGTATATGACTTTTGATAGACCTGATATGATGTATAATAAAGCTGCTTGGTTATACAGAGATGGTGGTTATTTTCTTAGGCAAAGAATGGATCTGACAGTTTCAACACATAAAAGTACCGATTTACTTATTACAAAAACTTCTCATTGAAAATATCACCGAAAGAGATTCAGCGGAGATGGTCATACTAACTCAATGACACCATTCTTGCTTTTCTATAACACTACAATAAATTCAGTATGTAGACTAATTTACTTACAAAACTCCCAAAACTTGACTATTTCACACAAAATGAAATATAAAATAAATCGGCAGCAGACAAACCTGGACAAATCAATGGGACAGCAGTTTGATGGGAGAGATAATAGAGCACTTAGTCGACTAGGGGTAGAAATAAGGACTTTAGTGCTTGAAGGTAATCTCAATTCACGAACTTTTTTTGATTTATTTGTTGAAATATCATTGTCCGATGGTTTTATTATCTTTTTGCAGCGAACAGAGTAATGTTTTTTATGCAAAGCTGCTATGAAGCAATCGCCTTTGACGCCAGAAAACAGCCTAATTGCTTCGGAACGGATTTGGTGCATTAGCTCCTGAGTTGGTGCTAAGATCATAGCAAACGGAAATATTTTATGTTCTGATGTCTTCTCAATCGGACTGCTCATGGACTCGGAATTTTCAGAGATGTTTATGCTCAGTAACTGATTGAGCACCGGAAGAAGATAAGCAGCTGTTTTTCCGGAACCTGTCGGTGCACAAGCAAGTAGGTTACGGTGCTACAAAAATTACAATATGAAATCCGATGAAAGTTGATCACAATGATCTTGAGGACAAGTTTATTTATAAACGAGGAAGAAATCAAAAGAGGTAAGGACTTGTTGGATCTGAAGATGAGTGAAGTGAAAATATTATTAAACTAATTATGATAATAAATAAGACACTAAGACAACTTATAATCTTATTTCCATTAGAGATATCAAGAAACACTATTTCTGCCTATATTAAATCTGATTAGCAAGTACTTATTGGATACACACTACCTAATTATATGATCTAATGTGTGCTTCATGATACTAAACCAAGCAAATCTAGCCAGCCATTAACTGGTGAATGTCATCCTTACATATCCTTTTCAAATCAGATGCTCGATATTGACCAAAAGGGTTTTGGTAAAATCCTTCAATTGGTACATATATTACGAATTGACGAATGACAATGGATAGCCGGCACAACTGTTAAGGAACGAAGCCAGCTTGATAAATGAACACTTAAGATAACAGAGAAAGTACTCTGAATTGTAGCAACACAGAGTTTTGCTTGCATAAACTGCAGTCCATAGAAAGTAAAATAGTTCTTTATTCATGTTAGAATCAAGGTTTCAGTTAAATGAGTCAGAATCGTGTCTAGCGTATAATCTAATTGTGGTACCAATTGGCTGTTAGTATGAATTTGTCAGAGAATGCAATACTTCTTAGCTGTGGCAGAGATGCAGTCGAAAACGAAAAAGAGGTAACATCAATAAACCAACCTGAATCATGATAGGAATGCTTTGGGATTGTATGGGGGTTGGAGTTTTGTATCCTAACTTAGACAAGTTATGTAAAATCAGATCATTGATTTTGCAGGATTTACTGCTAAATGAATAAATAGGCCCGGGAATTTTCCTCCGTTTGTTTATTGCTGAAACTTTGATTGCATGACTCAATCTATACTGCTTCGCTTTCATCGATTTGGAATTATCTGTCTTCTTCTTGACAGTTGAAGCATCTACCTTTAGAAAACATTAGGAATTATATGAAGATTTACATCAAAATTTAACCCAAATAAATTATCATCAGCTGGAATATTCATATTTTAGCTTTTTAGACAAAACACAGATGCTTTGTGAGTCTCAGTATACCATGTTACTGCTACAGCAGTAGTTACCCAGTAGTAGCGTCTTTCTTGTAAAACCGCCAAACCTACTCCGCCGTAAAAAAAACCCTTGTGTTTTGGACACTGGTAAAAAAAGATTTTAAAAATGAACTACCTTACAAAAAAATTTCACTTGACTTGAAGTGTTCAAAAATCTTAACAATCCCTACTATAGTGCGTAAAAACAACAAGATTTAATCATTTTGTTTTGTTTTTGACTGGTGATTGAGGATTATTTACTTTCTCGGTTAACTATTCATTTGAATATAATTGAAAAATCTTTTTTCAGGAATTCGATCAATAGTTCTTTATGATCCAAATACAACAGACAGATTTTTACACGTTTATTTCAAAAGTTCCGGTTAGATGTATGGAATTTTTAACCTTATCCAACTGCTAAATGTTGTCAGTCGGAAGGTTTCATTGGAATTTCGGTTAGATGTGAGTGAAATAAATCGACTGAGGACTTTTGCGACATTGAAAATCAGTTTTATGTTGTCTAATTTAGGCGCATCGGTATTATATCAGACATTAGGAAATTGTGAGTCAGTTTATCCTAGAAAATCAGAAGAATCGTTCGTAACTGAATGCCATTTAGTTAGATGACATTGTTTTTTTCTTCTTTTTCAGTGATAGCCGCGGATGTGGAAAGAAAGTTAGTCTTAGGAAAAGGAAAATTGATAGTGAAAACTATGAAAATGTTTCATTGTCATGTTGATCTAGGAAACTCAGTTTCATACAACTCTGGCTTCAGGAGTTTTGCTGAGTAAGCTGAAAATTAGATGACAAAGGAGCTGATAAAATGTGCCTTGAACCTCTCTTTTGTAATTTTTTTACTGACCTTTAGTGCTGTAGTGGTGTAACCAATCTCTGCATCCGTAACAAAAATGAGCTTATAGAAATGACATTACATCCAACTGTAACATCACGTGGCCCAATTTCAGGAGATGAATGGTTTTTGATTGCTTAAGGACTACAAAAATAATATATGACAGTTAAAGGGAACATAAATCAGGACAAGTTTGTTAAGTTCACCACCCTTTTGGTGCCGGATTATATGGGTATCCTTACAATACAATTCCTGTTCTATCTTTTAAAGCATCAGCGAACTATATTTCCAGGTTGTCATTTATGGAGCTGCCAAAGGGCCGTTTCACTACATTCACAAGCGAAATGGACAGCTACGTATAAAGTAACTGTCGCCTCTTAAAAATCACAATTTATATAAACCGACTCTCCTTTATTCTCACTATGTACTGTAGAATATATGGAATTTGTCTGCAATAATCTTTCTTACATTCATGACAAAATTCAAAAGAAAAAGTCAAAATTATTTTAAGCGATTCGTATATCCTATAGGCGTTTTTAAATGAACAGCACTCTCTAGAAGTGAACTGATTGTAAAAGTTGAATTCTTCAAATTTCAAGGTGAATGAAAATTTTTCAAATAACGATACAGAAGATTGAAACGAAAACTATTTAAGGCCAAAATTATAGACAAACAAGTTCAAAGTTTTGAGGTGAAAAATAAGTCTAAACCTCACTAAAAATTCTATGTTTTATCAGCTAAATAGTTCAATTTCCCTCTGTAACAATAATTAGTTTTGTTCATAGAGAAATGGGTTCGCAGCATATAGTCAGGAAAAAATAGGTATCATAACCCCCTCCCATCAATCAGAACAGAAAATCGGAAAACGAACAAGTAGCTGCGCTGACAGTAATATGCCCGAAGTCTGACATCACTGCATGATTTCTTGGACACATTAGTACTTTCAGGGTTCAAGGTAATAACCTACCATTGAATGGCTGAATAAGACACTACCTCTCGATATCTCTGAGAGACATTTGCATTTTTGTCCTCTAGTTGATTTCATTGAGTAATCTACTGTTTCTGGGTACTCTGTGAACTACCTTCAAATTCACCAATGTTTTTTGCGAGAGGTCAGAAAGAACCACCACTTAGTCACCTTCGCAATTACTTCCTTCTTAAGAAAATATATTTCTGAAATCGCAGATTCAAGAATCACTCGAATTGGATAGTTCATAATTTTTAGGTTCGTACTGTTCTTAGACGACAAAAGCACTTTGTTCTCCTGCTCAAACGCCTTGTGCGACCTATAGAGTTTGATGAACTTTCCACAGCCTTTTGTTGAGCATTTTTATTATGATTCCTGTTGTTGTGAAGAAGCTTTATCTTCTGGAAGGGGCCGACTAGCCACGGTTGTGGGGAGGGTTCATATTCTGAAAATCCCTCCACAGCTCCTTATGGGACAGTGTCACTGCTTCTTTGTTTTTTGGGTATGTTTTGTTTCTGACGTTGCTCCTGACTCTTGTACCTCTTGTTTCTCCTCTCCCAGTATTAGAATGTGGTCGATTTTTACTTTGAAATTATCGTTGGTTATGGTCAGGTAGATAATCGTGCAAAACAAAAGGGATCTTAACAAATTGACATCTTTAAAAGGCATCCTTAAATTATCAATATCAGAAGAAGTCTTCAACAGAGTGTTGTCAAACCTATTGAAAGATTCATAAGAAACCCAGATTTGAGATCAGCAAGCTGGATTCCATCAATACAAATCGCCGTATCGATGAGATCGCAACCCTGCGGAACTTTTTGGAACAGCCGACTGAATGGAACCCATTTGCATTCAATAACTTATTGACTGTTAGTAAGCATTGGACAGCGTGAGCAGGATGACGTTATGAAGGCTTCTACGACGCTGCAGTGTACGTGAGACGATAGTCAATATGGTATGGAATCCTCCGGATGGATTAGACTGAGAAATCGTGCTTGGGTGACAGACCATAATCTTCTTCTAAGTGACAAGTGGTGTCAGAACAGGCTGCTTACTCGCACTCTTTTTCTTTCCTCTGATAGTCGACCGGATAATGAAGTCGTCAGCACTTCAGTGCACGCATGGAAAATAGTGGGCATCTTAGATGTAGCTGGACGATTTTGACTTCGCCAATCACCCTGTTCTATCATCCCATAAACAGTAGATGAAGTTCGCAGCCTCTGCAGCACTCTACTTCAGCATACACTTGAGAAATCCATCACACAGAGCTGCAGCTAAATCAAATTGATAGACAAGCTTTGGAAGGTATGGAAAAATTTACATGCGTGGGCAGCAATGACGATAAACAAGGTGGATCTGATCCCGATGTTAAGACAAGGAACAACAGAGGAAGGGCAGAGTTCATAGAAAGGGAGAAACTCGCGAGCTCAAACCAACTGTCATCTAACACTGAAATCATAATTTTCAATTCCTACATCAAAATCTTTCTATTTTATCAAGCGGAATCTCGGAGAGCTGCGGAAGCCAGCATCCAAAAGGCTTTTGCTTACTCCGTTGACTCCAAATGAAGCATAAGCAACCGACTGGGATTTTCCAGCTTACTCTGTTCTGGGACTTCTTTTCCAGTTCTAGGTCCAATACCGCAGATGCTGAAGAGAGGGTGGATCACCTTTTCAGTTACTGATTTTTCTGCCTCCAATGCCTCATCCGGTATGTTGTCTGGTCCTGCTGCTCAGTGATCCTCTAACTTCAGTTTCAACTTAGCCACCACCAAGTGGTGATCTGAATTTATGTCAGATCTGCTGTTTATTCTTGCGTTTTCTGTGGTCCTTCTAGACATTTACAGATGTGCTGGATTCGGTTGATTGTAATATGGGCTGATGGAACCCATGTAGCATTGTGTATACATTTGTGATAGAATATGTTATTATATATATATATATATTATCATTCTGTTGAAGATATATAGATCTCTTTCAGAACTTTTGTTTCCTTCTTTGAGTTGTAACCCCAGCAAAAATCACTAACACGTGACAATAGCAAAGCACCAATCAGAAGTACATTAGTGCCCAAAACCATGAGTTAGCTCTAAATCTTTGTCCATCCACAACCTGATAGCTTTTTTCTCGCTATCCTGCTTCATAGTCCAGAAGTCTTTAGTGAAATGATATTTACTGATCTTCGCGAGATTACCAAGTTAAATCCCGATAGGTCCAGAAATCAGAACGCAGATAGTATCGGAATGAAGAAGTATATTGTTCCATGTGCTTGTGATATCGAAATAATAACAAGATCGGAATAAAGAAGCGGCTAACAACCACCGAGGAGAGAAGCGGAATTGAAATGACACGCTTGGTGTACGAGGTAGTCTTTCGTACAGTTAAAAAAAGAGTACAATAGAACAATTATTGTTAGAATTAAGTACAATAATAAATGTTTCCATTTCAGCAGTTGTGTTCTCTTCATTAAACTTCCCTAAAAGGGTTTACACTTTCCTTACGTAGGGGCTTCGTGGGGTATGAGCGCTGGTCAGCTAACGGGCGATTGAAGGGCTAAAAGTCTGACGAACTGGAAGCGATCAATGAAGCTCGAGTTGTCAAAGAAAGTCTTATATGCTGAATTGTACCAGTAGTAACGTGCCAGCTTTGTTGCTCCGGTTGGCATGCCACACCAGGGTGGCTCATATACAGACTTTGAAGATTGCGTTTGCAAGGGTTCCTGCCAGAAAAAGCTGCAGACGTGTGACGGAATCAGACTAAGTGAGGGAGCCAGAAACAACCAGAACGAACAAGTTAGAAACCGTACACTTCTCATACACGTTCGGAACCATTACATCGATTGATTGCATTGATAAGAGCGTGGGTGATCAGGTCAGCTTTCACCGAGATTGACGGAAGTCGACGGTACCAACAAGGCGATGGTCGTAGACATGGGCTCAGGATAGAAGATAAAAGAAAAAGAGAAAGTTGTAGCGTGCGTGTGGTATTAGGATAGTGTTCTATTTCTCATCCGTTGTTGCCTGAGTGGTTATTAGTGGAAATGGACAGGTAGGCGTACGCGGAGACCGTAACGCGAGAGTTTAGTTTCGTGCGTACCTCATGAGGCATCGATCTCATCCAAAGTCAAGCGCGGCGAAGTCTG